TCCGGAAGGATTGTTGTGAGAAACAGAACTATTTTTGCTCAGGGTGACTTAAAAGGACAGAGTCAGGGGACGTGGAACAAATGCTAAATGGCAGATATTGGCTTCACATAGGGAGCTATTTCCAATGGTGGGAGTTGACAACAGTGGAATGGACTGCTGATGAACTCCCCGTCACTGCAAGTGTTCAGTCAGAGGCTGAACAGTTACTTCCCGTGTTTGGCACGAGCAGATTCGATTCACGCCTGGGGTGGACGATCAGACGGGTTTGTATCCCCCTTAGGGTTGAGTCTAGAGGAAGGCTGCCACCTCGCTGGCCCAGGCAGAAGAACCCATTGCCAGCAGAGGGCGTGCTTACTGATGACCGGTGCGCGGGCTGCCTGGACCACGGGCTGGTGTTGTAAGGAGATGTGATGGGATTCGAAGTGAAAACAGCTGGCAGGGGCCTGGTCACCGGGTCCAGAGAGAAGTTGATGAAGCAGGCAGGGCCCAGGGTGAAGAAACTTGTTCACCTGAGCTAGGGGGCCACGGGTTTCTAGCGCTGGCATGAATGCAAAGGCCTGCAGGCCATAGGCGGCTGCGGTCAATAGGTGAAGTGGGCCGGGAGGGGCCATGGGAGAGCTTGGGGCCCCTCTGGAGGGGACAGTGGCCACTCAACTCCAGACCACCCACTCTTGCCCCTTCCTCTGTGCAGCATGTCAGGAACTCTTACTAAACCACAGTCCTTGCATTTCTCACGTTTCCACTTTGTTTGGGGTTTTTTCCATACAGCGTTCTCTTCAGGCCTGCCTTCCTTCTCCCCCTGCCCCCAGTTGGGTCCCCTCCATATCCACACACTCCTGGTCTCACGATGGGCACCTACAGGCAGTGGGGGAAAGGGGGTTTCTCCCCCTGGCCCTCTAGGAATCAGCTGCTCAGAAATGAACCCTCTGACTCTGTGTACATCTCGTGCTAAGAGGTGAAGAGAAGCCAATCAGCCCTAGAGGCAAAAAAACCATCTTTTCGGTGCCACCCTCTCTGGTTTCCTTAGTGGCTTTTCACTTTTACACACCTTAATGTGAAAATTCCTCTGCAGGTTTCCCTGGGGGTAAGCCCAGTCGAGTCACACCTGGACTGCACTATTAGACACCAGCATCCTGCTTCCCACCGGTTTAGCAAACCCCACCATCTCAAGTGCCTTCCCCACAGGGAAAAAGGGGATGAAGGGAAGCGAGACTCATATTGAGCCTCCCAGGGCCAAGTCTCTGGTCTGTGTCAGTCACATCAGGCAGCCAAGTTTTTACAGAGACGTCTGGCCCTTGCTGGGGCACATTTCATCTTTATGAAACGTGTCCTTTTCCCTCTGCCCCCTAGCCCACCCTCCCTCACCGTGTGTCCAGTGGGCAGCAAAGGTGGTACTTCTGCTGATGCCCCAACCTGTGGGAGAGTCCAGCTTATGAAAGCGGGCAGCCTGACTTCAGGCTTTCATTTGTGGACTGAATAAGCAGGCGGGGTTTCTCCACATCACCCAGAATCCTCAGCACCAAGCTTGGAAGAGTCTGCACCAGGAAGAGAGTCAGGGTGGCTTTATCTGGGGTCAGGAGGCTGAATGGGGAGGTGAAGAGCTGAAATTCCTCCATGCACACCAGGACCAGTTCACTTGGTCGGGGTGCCTCTCTCTCTCACACACACACAAAACCACATGGATTATTCCTCTAAAAAGTTCTCTGATTTTTTGAACCACATGATGTTTTCAGTGGATAAACTGTTTATGATTCAAAAGGGCCACAATGCATTAGACTTTGCTTGTTACAAACTGACCGCTTTCACTTTCTCTAGGCAGCCAGCAGCTCCCAAATGAGTAGCACCACAGTGCCCATTTGTACCTGACAGCGCTGCAATGATTGCGTATGTTCTGCCCTTAAACTTCCCGATGGCAGAGCCCTGGAAACTAGACAGTGGACCAGAGGAGGAGTAATGACAGCCAATGAAAGGGGAGCCAAGGCAGGCCTCCAAAGCGAGTCGCTTACAGACTGAGGGGGACATTTATCAAAATCCAAATCGTCCATACGGTTTCCATCATAACCAGCCAACCCCAACTGTAACACTTGATTTTTGGGGGAAAAAAAAGTAAACACAGCACCCAGCTACAACACTATATTTTTAAACAAATTATTATGTAAACAATTTGGAAGATTTCTGCCAACGATTCACTGGGAAAAATGAAGAGGGCTTGTAAGTTCCAGATTTTTTTTTTTTTTTAATTAGCAGAGGACTCTTCTATTTGTTTGTGTTATGAAGATTTAATCAGCTAGGTAGGCCCAAAGCAAAGGCTGTCGCTCTGCTTCCCTTTCCCATGTTGAAGTCTTTACTCTCTATTTCTTATTTCTAGGCATTACTGAAGTACCTCAGAGCCTCATGATGGATTGAGTTAATTACTCACACGAGAGGGCACAGGTAAAACATCAGATAGGACACTGAAGCTTAACAGGGACAACTGCTTAGAGGTCCAAAAATATATCCCGTTTGTACAGGGCTTGGGGCGGGGTTGGGAGTGAGACTTAGCTCGTGTTAATCAGAAGCACAAGAAGTTGGTAGATGACCAAAGTATCAATTGTTAATACGATATGGGAGTGTAATGTCTCACACTCCCGTGGACTTGGTTGGCACACTCTTTTTTCTGAGCTGACCAAATTCAAGCCAGAAGGTTATATTCTGTGCACTGCCCCCTGGATGAGCCCTGGGTGCTGTTCTGGCTCAGAGGCAGATGAGACGATGATGGGAAAGGCTGAGTAAATAGCTAAAATATCAACAAAAGATTTTATCATCGCCCATCAACAATGGTTAACAGGCTCATGGCTTTTATGAGCCACCACCCAGTGTAAGAATATCTAGCAATCAGTACTTTTTTTGTAATATTATTTTACTGATGCAGGCAAAGGACACTGGATATTTTTTGAGAGAAGAAACTATTTCAGAGGATATGTTAACCATGTCTTTTACTTTCTTTATTCTGGTGCTTTTGACGTCTTAGGACCTTGCTGACCTTGGAGGGACTCCCCTTCCCAAGGTCAGAAAATTCCTGGAGATAGCCAACAACTTGCCTTTCAGCATGCCTGTCAAATGCAGTTAATTGGTCCTATGTCATTTTTAAAATTATAATAATATACATTCATAGTAATAAATCAAATAGTAAAAAAGGCTTATAATACAAAGTGGCAGTTTCTTACCAGATGCCTCCATAGCCCAGAACCAGCCTGCAGAGACTGTTCACTCTTTCTGTTGGTAACTGTTCTGAAGTATCTCCCCATAACTCTAAATAACATGCATTATCCACTTATCGCTCCCCGTTCTGCTGGAGATGTAGAGGGGTTTGGTCCCCTTACAACCAACCCCTTCCCTCCTCTCTCTTTGAAATGTTAGAGAATTGTATTATTATTTGTATTATTGTTATTATTTCTAGCATCTCTATTGTTAAATTGTAACTTTAACACACTCCCCCTTTACCTCTAGTTCCAGTTACTTTTGACACACTTTCTCTTTTGTAAAATGAGGGTATTCGTTTCTGGGCACTTTCTTCTACTTTTCTTCTCTCTCTCCCCACTCTTCAAGTCATCTCAGCCCTCCCATCTTCTGTCGGCTGTGCATATACTCGTCCCAATTAATGTGATGTAGCTGACACTCTCCTGCTCGAACTGCAAGTCCAGCATCAGCGTACTACAGCGGCCAGACCAGGGGCTCCTGAGAAGGGAACCGAGGCTGATTTCCACTAGTGGTTTTCTCTGCTTCCCCAAGGAAGCCAGCCAATTCCTTGTAGCAATTCACTACTCTTTGCAAACGATCGCTCCGGTGGAGAACCCGTTAATTTTCTTCTACCACCTCCTCAGAGACCCTCTAAGCCTCACAGCATGAGAGGTTTTGGCTTTTATGAGAGTGGGGAGATGGTAGGGGTCAGGGAAGAGAATATCAGGTTATTTAAAATATCTCTATTTCTTAATTTTTCAATTTACTTGGTGACAGTAATAAATAGAGAGCTGGAAAAATGCCAAGCATGTGTCAGACAACACGGGTATTTTTGTCCTGGTGCAAGTTTTGATTCCTCTTAATATCCTATATTAATAGAATATTTAAGAGACTACATTGTAGACGTACTGAGTGCTTTGATCTAGAAGGACCTGCAGCGCCCTCAGATGGAAGCACTGAGCATCTCCACAGCTGCTGCTCCCCACCTCCTGCAAAGATTCCCTGATATCCTGTCTTAAACTTTGATGCTGTCTTGGCCTCCTTTGGCATAGACCTTAATATTTCCTTATTGGGGCTGCTAAAAATCTTGGGATTGGTTCTTCTCTCAAGGATCACCACCCACTTGCCACTTGCCACTCTGCCCAAAGGTCTAGGACCATTGCAGGCTCTCAACTTGACTCCTCTTCATTATTCAAGTCTTGACTTCCTGTGCTGGCTCTTGGCTTCCCACTCTGCTTGGTTCACTGAGCTGGCCCCAGCCTCCCCTGCAGATGGCTCAGGGCCAACAGATTGCTGACACCAGGAGATTAATTAGGTCCAGGGAAGCTGGAAGCAGGTGGCTTGAGTGACTTGGCCACTCATTTGCTGCTCTTTCTCTAGGATAGAATGCAAACACACATACACATTCCTAGTGTCATCATGACCATCATAACCCAAAAGACCCTGGCCACAGGGATCTTAACTCCAATAATAATGGGCAGTCAGTTTACCTGCATCTGAAGCAAAGAAGTACAAGTCGGTAAACCAGCTCTGGAGAATCAGAACCACTGACCACACGTAATTCCGGGGAACAGATCATAGGCTCAAGTCCGAGGGCATGTCTGTCAATAAGTCTGGCCCAGTGCTGAATCATTTAGTTTCTGGTAATTAGGCATCTTCTGTTCAAGCAAAAAGTAACCAGATAAATATCTGCTGAGGTGAGCCAGTAATAACAACAGGAACAGTAATAATCGATTTGCATTGTAATCTCTAGATCTAAAAGCACCTCTCTTTATTTGTTTATGTATTTATATTCATTCACTCAATGGACAAGTTTAGGCTCAAAAGATGAATGAAGCTCTGTGCAGGGGGCTGTGCTGCACAGAAAGCCCTTGCCACCCAGGAACTCAGTGTGTCTGGGGACACGCTATCAACACAAGAATCCACAGCCTGCAGTTAAAATGCCGAGACAGAAGTTACACCACATGCCATGGGAACAGCGTGGGGACTCAAGAACTCTGCTTCTCGATGAGTTCCTTCACGTCCAAACGTATCTCTACATTACTTACTCTCTTTACCTCTGGCAAGGTTGAATGGCCTTATTTTACCCAACACCAGGAATCTTCCAGGAACTCCAGACAGACTCAGGCAGGTGAGGTCAGGCAGGCATGTGTTCATGGAAGGAAGTGGGCAAGCAGCTGCGGGGGCAGACAGGCCTGCCGATAGCCTCTCACTCAGGAAGAACTCTGCCTGCCACCCATCCCGGAGCTGGGGAGTAGACATCCAAGGGTGGACCATGGAGAGAAATGACTTTAGCAAAGCCCCACCATATGAGCAGAGCCTGTGTCCACGACATCTCAGTAAGGAATTTTAATTCTCCGTTGTGTAATGTGGCACAGAAAGTCATCTTTGGGGATGGATTAAAGACACCTCGGTAGTCATTAGCTGAAAGCTTTTACCCTGAGCGCTCACATCTCTACGGGAGCCGGGCCTTTCAGAGTCAGATTGTTAACAGGAATTCTCTCCTAGGTACCAGCGCTTCTCTGGGAAAAGATCCAAAGTTTGGGTCAGTCCTCCCGGCATATGTATTCCTGGCCTGGGCCATCAGATCTGTGCCAGCCTGTGCAGGCTCAGTGCACCTGCCCTCTTTGCTCCGGACTCCCGACCCGGAGTTGGACGGTGGGGGATGGCCGCCTGTACTGGTGCCAAGAAAGACCCACCCTGACTCTCTGCTCTCTCCCTTCTCCCTTTGTTCTAACATCTTCCTTGGATTATGGCACGTGCCCACCTTGGAAAACTGAGGAAATACAGACAAATTTCAAAGGAGGAAACAACACTTTTTCTAAATCATACCATGCAGCAAAAAATTCAGTTAATATTTTAGTGATTTTTCTTGCAATTTTAAAATCCACGTTGTATATATAGAGAGAATTTTGAGGCTGTGAGGGGCTAGAGATGATATTCTATAACTAATTTGTCTTCTCATTTCATATTACACTAGGAGTGTCCGATCACTTAAACACTGGAGATATTTGGGGTCATGCTTTTCTAGACAGACCCACACACATCTTATTTTTGTTCTATTATACATACTATTCTTTTTTTTTTTGCGGTACGCGGGCCTCTCACTGTTGTGGCCTCTCCCGTTGCGGAGCACACGCTCCGGACGCGCAGGCTCAGCGGCCATGGCTCACGGGCCCAGCCGCTCCGCGGCATGTGGGATCTTCCCGGACCGGAGCACGAACCCGTGTCCCCTGCATCGGCAGGCGGACTCGCAACCACTGCGCCAGCAGGGAAGCCCCATACTATTCTTTAATCATATTTTTTACTTAATAGCCATTATGGGTAGGTCTTTATGTTAGTAAATATAGATCATAGGTCAATTTCTTTATAATATTTTGTAGAACAGAGGTTACACAATTTCCTTAATACTGTATCGATAGACATTTAAAATTTGTCCTTTTCTTTTTTAGTCAAATTAAAAAAAGCATCATGATGGGTCCCTGAATTATTTCTTTAGAACAGGCTCCTGAAGCTGGAGTCCCTAGCGTCAGCAGGAGTGCGCTTTGAATTCCTGCCCTTGCCCTGCAGGTAGGTTGTAACACTATTTCTAGCAGCAGTTTATGAGCACGAACAGCTATGGTCCTTGTTAACATTTAAGATCTTTTTAAATCTATGCTGATTTGGGGCTATAAATATCTCACTAAGGCTTTTTCACATTTATTGATCATTTGCATTTCATTATATTCTATCTGAATTGCCTTTTTGTATTCTCTCTGCTTTTAAAAACAGTTGTTTACCTTTTTCTTAATGTTTTATAAGACCTTTTTATATAATAGCTATATTAATCCTTTTATACGCATTTGACAAGTCCTTTCCTGCCCACACCCTCTTACAAATTTTCCTTATCTCTTAACTTTATATCTGGCAGGTGGTTGTTTTATTTCAAAGCACATTTAAAATTTTTACGTATTAACATGTATTAATCTTTTCCTTAGAATATGTCAGATTTTGGTTACATGCTTAGAAAGAACTTTCGCAATCTAAATTTTCATACAACTTTTCACTCTATATTTTCTTCTATTGCCTTTATGGTTTCTCCTTTTTTTTTTTTAACTTTAAAATATTTAGCCCATCTGGAATTCATTTCAGTCTGAGGTATGAATTTAACACTATTTTCCCCTGAAATGATTAGTAGCCTGTCACAACACGTTCCCTGGCTAATCCTTCCTTTTTCCATAGATTTAAAGAGACATCTTTACACATGTACCTCGTCCCATGTGCTTCTGTGGCACTTCTTGTGGGCATCACATCATGATGAGAGATGGTGGCACCTGTTAGGGGAACCTCTCTGACTCAGCACTTTTGTTACTTCCAGGTAAAAACTCTGGAATATACATACACACTGTTGGGATGTTGACTGGCATTTTGTTATATTTGCAGATTACAGAGAATTATGATAGTCTCATTAAATATAATAAACATTTTGTTTCTTCCTTTCCAATATTTATGTAATTTATTTATGTCTCCTTCCTTCTGGGAGTAGCTAAAATGTGGCTCCACAGCAATGCTGAGACATAATACCGAGTGGGGACATCCTTATTTCACTTTACCCACAGATCCCTCTGTCTCACAACTAAGTATAACACAGGCAGGGTATTTCTGACAAATATTCTCCATAATGTGGGGAAAACACAGGAGCAGTTATTGAATTATTATCAATAGCAGTTATTATCTGTCACTTAAGCAATAAATGAGATTGGGGGGTGGATTTTCTCCTTTAGCAAATATAATTTTTAAAATATAAATTATATTAACATACTTCATGCTGATAAACTATTCCCATATTCCTTGGAATAAATCTGGCTAGTTCATGTTACTTTGTTATTTGAATGTGTTCCCAGGTTTAATGTGAAAATATCTCATTAATAAATGTTATATCTATATTCATAAGTGCATTTTTTCTATAGATGCTTTTTATTTTTATTAAGTTCAGGCTTCAGTGTGATGCTAGCCTTATATAACCAGTTAAGACAATTTTAAAAAACATTCTATGTTTTGGAATCTTTAAAATAGCGTTACATTTAAGTATCTCATCAAGGTCTGATAAAATCATCTGTGACTTGTATTATTTATATGGAATCTGAAAGAGGGTGGACAGTAATTTGCATTTTTTTTTTTTTTTTTTTTTTTTTTTGGCTGTATGCGGGCCTCTCACTGTTGTGGCCTCTCCCATTGTGGAGCACAGGCTCCGGATGCGCAGGCTCAGCGGCCATGGCTCACGGGCCCAGCCGCTCCGCGGCATGTGGGATCTTCCCAGACCGGGGCACGAACCCGTGTCCCCTGCATCGGCAGGCGGACTCTCAACCACTGCGCCACCAGGGAAGCCCAGTAATTTGCATTTTTAAAAGCCCTCCCTTCTTGGGGTTGGGGTTCTTTGATAGAAAGAGTAGTTTTACAATTTCCATGTGATTAAATACTGATATTTTTTTGGCCATTACTTTCTAATTTTATTATACAAAGAATAAGGCTTGAAAATTTCTACTTTATTTAAAGTAGAACTTACGAAAGCTTTTGGGCCTAGTTCATGATCATTATTTATAAATATTTCATTAACATGTTAATATTTTTAAAGAATGTGCTTTATCTCTTTGTGGCTTATAAAAATTTCCTCTGTAGCTAGTATGGCAAGTTTGTTAATTATACTATCAGTCCCTCTATGTCTTTATTTTTTATCTCCTTGATCTGCAAAATTCCTTTTTTTAATAGTTATTTATGTATGTTTTTGTTTGTTTGTTTATGGCTGCATTGGGTCCTCGTTGCTGCGTGCAGGCTTTCTCTAGTTGCGGCGAGTGTGGCTACTCTTCGTTGCGGTGCATGGGCTTCTCATTGCAGTGGCTTCTCTTGTTGCAGAGCATGGGCTCTAGGTGCGCGGACTTCAGTAGTTGTGGCATGTGGGCTCAGTAGTTGTGGCTCGCAGGCTCTAGGGTGCAGACTCAGTAGTTGTGGCGCATGGGCTTAGTTGCTCCGCAGCATGTGTGATCTTCCCAGACCAGGGCTCAAATCCGTGTCCCCTGCATTGGCAGGTGGATTCTTAACCACTGTGCCACCAGGGAAGTCCCTTGATCTGCAAAATTCTGTGCAATGTGTTAAAACTTTTTGATACCAAACATTCATTTCCTTACATGTTTTACATTTTGCATAGTTTCTTCTGAAACCAGTATTTCAAATGCAAATTTCATGACCACAATGTCTTAATTTTTGATTGTATATTTTATCAATAAACATAATTTTCCCCATTTACTATTTTTATACTTTTTTCCTATATAAAATATGTCTGCTAGATCCTTACCTATCTCCTAAGTGTCAAAGTATCAATCTTTCTGTTCATTTCTCTTTAGGAACATCTAGGTTTTGCCTTTTGAAGCACTCTGAGCTACTTGGGCTTTGAGTAGGGAAGTTTAGCTTACTTATTTTTTTGAATGTATTCTGATAACTGATCAGTTGGGTCATATTCTTATTTCATCTTCTATATTTATCTCGTCTCTAGTATTTCTGTTTTATCTTCTTTACTTTCAGTGTGTTGACCCAATAATATTTTTTTCCTTTGCTTGTTCAGAATTTGGCAAGTTATAGATCCAATTTATATTTTCCAGTGGTTACAATTCAGTTTGTAACTGTACAATCCAGTTTTGTAAAACAAAACATTACATGAAAACAACCTTGATCTTATATTTCACTGTAATTGTAAAAAATGAAATCGTTTCCATGAAACAGGCTTTAGAAGAGAAAGACATCTTGTATTTCTCTCCCTCCCTTCTTCCCATATCAGATCTGGATGTCCCACAGTTGGCAAGGCAGCTGGCGAGAAGTTTGAATTTGCCCTTGTTTGAGGGAAAATTAGTTCAGTGTGGCTTTGCCTTTGTCACAGAGAACCTATTTGGGAATGAAAAACGATGAGCTAAACACATGATAACGTAAAAGGGGGTGAACACATTCCAATAGTGTGTTTCTTTTAGAACTGTTTTGTTCTTTTAATTGATGTGCATGTAGACTGAGCTATTTATGAAAGCTACTTGTTTTTAGAAGTGTGTGTGCTATGTGCATGTGAATGTGTTGGTGGTGTCTGTGGTATGTGTTGGGTGCTTGGTGTGTGTACTTTCTGGTGTGCATATGGTTTGTGTACGTGTGTGATATGTGTATGCAGTGCATGTGTGTAGATGTGTGGTGCGTTTGTGGTGTCTGTATGTGTGCTGTGCAAATGCCTGTAATGGGTATGGCATGTGTGGTATTTCTGTGTGGCAAGGTATTTCTGTATTTGTTTGAGTTGTGTGTAGTTTATGTGATCTGTGACATGTGATGCTTATAGAGCAAGTTGTGTGTGGGCACTTGTGATGTGTGTTCCACATGCCTAGAGTACTGCGTTTGATGTGTTTGGCATATGTGTACGTGGTGTGTGTATGTGTGTGAGTGCGTATGTGGTGTAATACATGTGTGATGTAGTATGTGTATGTTGTGGGTATTTGTGTGTAAAGTACTTTGTGTCTGGTGTGTGTGTATAGTGTGATAGGTATACGTAGCACGTCTGCGGTGGTGTGTGTGATAGGTGTGTGGCATGTGTCTTGTTAGTGTATAATGTACGTGTCTGGTTTACTGGACATGTGTAGCACCTGTGGTGCGTATAGTGTGTGGCTTGTGCAAGTGAGTCTGTGTAGGAGGTAGTGTGTGTGTGCACTTGGGTGTGGTCGTGGGCCCTGTGCATCTAATCTTGCACTGGAAGAAGCAATTTCTCTTCACCCCGTGCAGGTCCTGGTGGGGACCAGGCCAAGAGGACTGGAACCCACTCATCCCGTCTATCCTCCCTGGCCCAGCAGGAGGCATCCTCTCAGATGTGGTGAACAGAAGCCCACAGTCTGGGGGAGATGCATGGAAGTGAGTAGCGGTGTTCCAAAGAATTGTCCCAGGGACCCCAGGCCCTACATCAAGGTCCCATGGGTTAGGGGTGGACTCCTTTATGTCCTGAGGATTGTGAGATTTCCTCCTGTCAATTATTACAAAGGTGGCAGATGCAGGGTCACAAAGGGTGGCCTTGGGGACAGTCCTGGAAACGATTTGGGTGGGCCGGAGACTCAGTGCAGGAGGGAGGTGTGGAAAGACTCTCTTTCTCCCTGGGTGATAGGGGGCCAGGTGAAAGGCAAGGTGTGCCCATGAGGCGTTCAGGAAAAGGGTTTCCCTTCTACTCTTAGTCTTCAGCATTACTTTTGGCAGGTGTGCTTTCCTATGCTGTGTTTCTGGTTCATGAACCTCAAGCCGTCAGGAATCTGGCCTTTGCTGAACCGAGGGGCACTTGAGACAGGCTGGTGTGTCTGATTCGCGGTCCAGTAAAACAGAGGGCAGTCTTTGCGTGCCCCCATATCCTCTCTGAAGCCAGCGGCAGGGGGGCAGCATTCCAAGGGAGTGCAGATGCCGGTCAATGCAGGGAAACCTGCATCTTTGCTCCTGGTGGAGCAGGGGAGCTGCAGAGCAAGATGCTGGTCGTGGCCCAGGTAGGGCCAGGAGACTTGAGTGCCGCCCCTCCTCTCTGAGGACCCTCACAGGCACCGGCTCAGCCCTGCTCCTGTGAGCAAATAGATCAGTGCTCTTGGATCTATCCTGCTGTCTCTGATTTCTCTCTCATAATTTCTACCTTCTTTTTTTAGTGATTATATGAATACATGAATGTACTGTTTTTAACTTTCCATTCTGAAATATTGCAAACCACACGCAAAGTCAAAGCCCCCTTTGACACCACTGTCCTGGATTTTACTTCTAATCCTGGCCCTCCTCCTCAAGGGTTATCAGTTTAATGTTTATCGTTTTATACATATTTTCACAGACAAAAATATGTAGTTTTCTTAACATATATAGTATTATATCACACACTTTCTTCAAATTCTCTTTTCACTTATGCCTTAGAGGTATTTCCAGAACATGCAGAAGGACCTAATCTTAAACTGCTGCATTGCAGTGCACAGTGAAAATACACCCCAATTCCATGTGACACTTTTTTTGGTGGACATTTGAAGTGCTTCCTTTTTATCCTACCTTAAACAATACGGCAATGAACATCTTGATGGATGTGTAGTGTTTCTCTAAAATGGCTACCTAGATTTAGAAATGTCAAGATAAGAAACGTACATTTAAAATTTAACAGATAATGCCAAAAAGTTCCTCAAGAGGATTTGCCGATTGATACTTTCACCAATAATACCCACATTCCTTTTCAATTTTTATAAATATGATGAACAAACCAATGGTTTCCTTGCTGTTTTAACTTGCATGTCCTCGGTCATGGAGGAGGCTACATAGCTTTTCATGTTTGTTGTCAATCTGGCTTCCCTTTCCTGTGAACTGTCTGCTTTCATCTTTTGCCTAGTTTTTGACTATTTGTTTTCTCATTGATGACAGAAAAGTACTTTATATATTCTGGAGATTGATACATTTTATAAATTGCTAACAT